CATAACACAGGGCAAGGATTTTATCTGAAGTAGTTGGTAAGGATCAATTGGCTGAGGAACACCAAAGTGGATGATAATGATTTTTAGAGTTTTCTTGACAAGTCTCAAGGATATGAAACAACAAGCAACCAAAATTAAGATTAGAAGAAACTGAATGGAGAAATGCTTCACAAATACTTTGGTATTTATGGTATTTGTCATTTAGCAAGACTATACCCCATTTGTCTGAACAGTCTGTTCTACAAAAGGCCGTTCCTTTTTTAATACCATGCTACCAACTAACCTACTAGAAACAAGCTTAGATGAACCACAGTAAAATAATATATCCTATCATCTTTAAGTAGATTATTTTAAGGCTGAGACATTACACTATTAACATCATACAATCACAGACTCACGGAAACACAATTTATTTTTAATTCTGCTTTAATTTTCAATCTCTTAACTTTTAATCCAAGGGTAATGAGGCTGTAAAACAGCTGATACTACCACATCTGCAATGAATTCATCAAGACTGCTAAAGAAATAATTAATCTACAGATATGACAGTTCCCTATTTCTTTGCATAGTTGTGCTCTTCACACTAAATGCTAGGACGCAGCCCTTCAAGAACTTCTCACATCTTTATTGGATAAAAATCATTTACTTATATGAGTAAAATAGAACGCTTTTCTAAAACACTGCCAACCTGTCCTTAAACCAGAATTCTCACTAAGACTTGTGTATGACAATTAAACTAGGAAAAAAAGCATAAGAAATCTTACAATTTGTATTAACATTTAGCTGTAGTGTAATCTTAATCTTCATTCATGCCTTCACTTAAATCGAACTGAACAGAACTAAATTCATTTTTGCACTTCTTGGATTTATGAAACGAATATAAGTTGAGTTCCACCTACACCGGTTCTTCAGTATAACACTTTTAACCTAAAATGAATGCAAGGTTTGGCTCAAAATCTGAAAAGGACATAGGGCCTACTGGGGTATCAGCTGGTAGTGCTAAGAAAGCAACACAACAGTCCTGTCTGCACAGGAAAGCTCCAGGACTGCAGTACAGACAGGACAAATTTTGTTCACAGTACGAGGGGTAAAACTGGCTGTGTACTGGACACCAAGTTCCCTGGCCCAAGCATAACCTGACCTAAGCTGAGCTCACACAAACACTTGCTTTGATGCAAACACTAGGAAGAAGGGAAGGGTAGGTGCACACAGGGAGTACTCTCTAGATTTCCTTGCTTTTACCAGTTTAATACTTAAACCTAATACTTACATTCATTTTTAATCTTACTTTATATAAACATTGATTGCACATTGCTAAATGTCAATGCCAAGGTGCAAAGCTCAGTGTTATTATCAGCTCTTTTAATGTGCGAGTCAGGTGCCTTACAAGACATGGTTTACTCATTCTTTACCTTTGATTTTCTTTGCTTAGGTCACACATTAAGTGAGTAGTACAGTATAATTTCCTTCATGGCATCGGTAGGTTTTCTACTGATCTCACAGAAGCTCTTAACAGTATGATCCTATTAACATCACGTCACAGAGCCATGTGAGCGAATAACTCCAAAACACCATTTAACTATTTAAGTTAGGACTTAAAGAGCAAGACTGGGTTTCCTCCTACCATCATACCCAGGGGTATCTTGAGTGTGTTACTCTTCAGTCTGACTAGCCCCAAGGTTACAGCTCATGTTTCAGGAGAAGGAAAACGAAAAAAAAAAAAAAAAAAAAGCACTAGCAGCAGAGCCCTTCTACAGTGAACTTCAACGACATTTGCTATTTAAGGGTTTCTGCATAGACTCATAACCTTTTTTTGGCAGAGCTTCTTCAGCACATAGCAATCCTTATTCTTCTTCAGAAGAAAACTCTCACCTACACCACTCAGTAACTGTGCTCTTCTAGCAGCAGCTCTGCTGTAACATCCAGCGTTTCAGCCGCGCTGTCTTCAGCACTGCTTGGAGCAACATGCGAGTCTGGGCACATTTAGATTCAAAGATGCCAGGCCATTTGCAAGCACAGGTTGCTTTGGAACACCATTTCCAGGACATGCAAGAGGGCTGTAATACCCCAAGCACGGCAGGACTGCCTGCCTGGCCACTGCATACTGAAAAGGCCATTCATGAGGATGTTAAGGCACTACTGTGTTCAAGCCTGACCTTCCTGCAGTGCTTCTCAGGCATCTCTGGTAGAAAAAAAAAGGGGGGGGGAGGGGGAGACAAACAAACAAACAAAAAAAAACCCACTTTGATTCTGTAATGATCTGAATGGGCAAACTGTAAGCTTTACAGAATACATACTTTTGTTAATTACTAAGAGGTGGTATTATATGCAGTATTATCACCTAAAAATATTAGTAGAAATATTCTACTAATTCTAGAAAGTATGATCACGATTTTCTCCTACATCTCCTTTGCCTCAGCACTGATCTGTTCCTAATGAGATTTTTGCCTCCATCTCAGGCATCCACATCTCTGACAATGGTTTGAAGACAAGCTGTCCTTAAAACATTTTGCTTGTTTTTGCAACAGGAAAAGCAATAGTTCAAAACAAGCTACCCAAGAACCAGTACAGCATAGTGCCAAATACTGCAGCCCACCTGTTAGGGAATGCTGCAGGTCACTAAGATAGCATATAATCTTCAGCCTAATAAGTTATTGCATCCAGAAATGAAATGAAGGTTTTTTTTTTTCCTGCACATAGCCCTTTATAAGACCATCTTTACAAAATTCACCATTAGCCTGTGGTAGTGAAAAACAATACCTGTTAGCTAGACACAAAGAAACCATTCTCTGTATTTGCTTTTTTCAGTTCCCTTTTAAACACTTCTAAATAGGGAACCTTGCTGTACTAATAAACATCTGTCAACAAACCCTAACCAAGTAAGACTTTTAAGAGATCAGTATAATAGAGAAGTTTGTTTTAAAGCCAAGGCTGCCAAGCCAAGCAAGGATGACTGGAGAATTCCAGAACAAGGGGAAGAAACCTCAGAAGGTAATATACAACTACAGTAGTCAGCTTTTATACACATATATAACCATATTTCAAATCTAGTGCTTGTTGAAACAGCCTCAGAGGTTCTCCCAAACTTTTAGACCCTAATCTCCTCCTCCCAAAGGTAAAGGTAACATAAGCAGTCACAGCAAACTGATTATAAGGATTACATTTCGTTTTTGGTATTAAAAATGGAGCTGTTCTCGTGCTGTTTCAACAATTTCATTATACAAAAAAAAAAATGCTCGTGTTTGTTTTTTAGCAGTATTCCGTTTGCCATATTCTAATTTCTGAAAAGCAGTTTTACAAGACAAAGCAAGCCGGGTAAGAGAAAACTCAGCGCGACCCTTCCCCGGCGCCGCGGCCGTCCCGGAGAGCCTCCCCTGCTCTGCAGGGGCTCCCGCTGAAGGGCGAGAGCCCCCCGAGCGCAGCGTATTCCAGGAGAAGAACCCAAACGCGGCCGCCCCCGTCACGAGCCCCTC